CAAGCCACACCCCAGAGCAAGCCACACCCCCAGAGCAAGCCACACCCTTGGAGCAAGCCACACCCCAGAGCAAGCCACACCCTCGGAGCAAGCCACACCCCAGAGCAAGCCACACCCCCAGAGCAAGCCACACCCCAGAGCAAGCCACAGCCCCAGAGCAAGCCACACCCTCAGAGCAAGCCACACCCCCAGAGCAAGCCACACCCTCAGAGCAAGCCACACCCTCACAGCCAGGTCCCACTGGGTCTATGGAAACTGTAGAGTCATTGAGGCCCAGAGAGGGAGAGAGACTTGCCTGAGGTCACACAGCGAATATCTGAGGTGTCAGGAGGACCGCCTCCCCAGTCTCTGGGCGGGTGGGTGACTTCCCGGGTCCTACTGCACAGCAGGGTGAGGGGCCCTGCCGGGGGTTCACAGGGCTGTGCTCTTATCTCCCCAGCCTCGTCCTCTACACCCTTTTCCTCACCGACCATGAACCATGCCTTTTCCTGCACCAACCCCAGCACCCTGCCCCGCGGATCCCAGCCCATGAGCCCCAGGACCACCATGGGGCGGAGGAGGCAGCGGAGGAGGGAGCACAGGAGTTCGCGTAAGCCTTTGGTCTCTTTGGGCCACCTGTATGCTCGGAGTGAGGTTTTCCAGAGGGCGGGGCAGGGCACCTGGGGAGGCAGGGAAGGCCGGGCTCAGTGGCGCACATCTGTCATCCCAGGGGCTTGGGAGGTTGAGGCAGGAGGATCGTAAGTTGGAGGCTAACCTCAGCAACTTATGAAGGCCCTAAGCAACTTAGTGAGACACTAAATAAAAAATAAAAAGGGCTGCGGATGTGGCTCAGTGGTGAAGTGCCCCTGGGTTTAATCCAAGATTCTGATCCATGCTATGACACCAGTGTCCTCGGAAAATATTCTGCCACGAAGCCAGTCGCTAAAGATCATGTACTATACCATTCTATTTCCATGAAACATCCAGAAAACGGAAAATTTTACAGAGACAAAAAGATCCATGGTGGCCGAGGGCTGGGTGAGATGGGAGGATTGGGAGCAATAACAAAATTTCCCTGGGGTCAATCAACCTATTGATTGTGGTGAACACACTAAAACCATTGAATCGGACACTTTAAATGGGCAACTACTCTGACAGGTGACTTGTATCTCAATGAAACCGTTACCACTGGTGTGTCCACCCTGTATATGCTACTCTCCCATCAATTAATAGCTATTATCACATTGACCATCTTGATATTGCAGTGACACTTATTTTACTTCAGAATGGCCTCAAAGACCAAGCCTCCCTAGGCTGGCAGGATATTGGTTTTATTCTATTTTATTAATAGTTATTGTTAGTCTCTTACTGCAGCTAATTTATAAATTAAACTTTGTCATAGGTGTGTGTGTCTAGGAAAAAGCATAGTATACACAGGGTTCAGGACTTGGAACATATCCCATGCAGTTAAGAAGGAACGAAAGTAACATAATTATGCAGAGCCCCAGAATCTCTGTGTTACAAAATCAGGTCCCCACATACTGTCTTCTTTAGTCCTTGCCCCAAGCAGGTAGGAGTTATGATCCCATGGCACAGATGAGGAAACTAAGGGTCAGAGTGGACCCCAGGTCGAGTCAGGACTCTTGCTTACGTGGCCCTCAGGCTCTGGTGTGGGTGGGCTCTGGTAAGGCCTCTCTGGGGCGGGCCACCTGAGTGCCATGATCACCTGTCCCCAGTATCCCTGGCTTCCAGCACGGTGGGGCCAGGTGGGCAGATCATACACACAGAGACCACAGAGGTCATACTCTGCGGAGATCCCCTCAATGGCTTCGGCCTGCAGCTCCAGGGCGGCTTCTTCGCCACTGAGACCCTGTCCTCTCCACCCTTGGTGCGCTTCATTGAGCCCGACAGCCCAGCTGAGAGGTGAGCCTGCTGCCCTTCCCCTTTGTCCAGTGTATCCACCCTGTATATGCTACCCTCCCGTCAATTGATAGCCGTTATCACATTGACCATCTTGGTATTGCCTCAAAGACCAGGTGTAGTGATGCTGGCAGGATATTGGTTTTATCCTATAAAACTGACAAAGGGGACAGTGGGGAGACTGAGTCAAAACACCAAGCTTCCTTAGTGTATCTCAACCATCGAATCGACCATCCCCATGTTGACAGTCGAGGCTCAGAGAAGTTGATTCATTTGCCCAGGATCACACAGCCTGTGTGCCCTGCGGAGTCCTCTGTCTGAGGATCTTGTGAGGACTCTGGCATCTCCCCCCATGGACAGACAGACAAACCGAGGCCCAGGACGGTCAGGCCCTTAGCCGGGGTCCTAGGACATACTGTCTGACGATACATAGCTGGCACGCCCAGGCCAGGAGGTGGGGTCCAGGTTGGCCCCTGGCCCCCAGTGGAGATGTCATGCAGATTCTTCTCTCTGCTGGGCCACCCGGGGTTCAGGTGTGGGCTGCTGCAGGTGGGGGACCGTGTCCTGTCCATCAATGGCATCGCCACGGAACACGGGACCATGGAGGAGGCCAACCAGCTCCTGAGGGACGCGGCGCTCACCCACAAGGTGGTGCTGGAGGTGGAGTTCGACGTGGCCGGTGAGTGGGTGGCCTCTCTTGATCTTGTTCACATCTGATGCAATTTTTCCAACACCCTGTCCCTCTCTGTGCCCAGTCCCCTGCTGGGGGACAGCACCTAGTGGGAGTAAGGGGTAGCCTGGGGCTGGATAGGGGATACCCTGACCTGCTTCTCTGCATGGCTCGGCCAAAGGATCTAGCTTCTGGTGGTGGGTTCTCCACCCCATGCGACTCTGGACGGGACACTTTCCCCGTGTGTAAAATAGCAGGTAGAACCCATAAGAGGAGTGTCCTTTGGGTTCAAGAGCATGAATCATGTGACTAGACCCAGCCAGGACCTGGCACATAGTAGGTGCTCAGTAAATCTTTGCTGGATCCAAACTGGATTGAATGTGGCCTTGGGGACCTCCCACGCTGACTGACAGTCCACGGCCTGCATTCCGGTCCTGACTCTGCTCTGACCATCGTGGGTCTGTCGTTGGGAGCAAATGTGTTACTTCTCTGGCCCTCGGTTTCCTCCTCTGTCAGATGGAAGAAGCAGAGTGGTGTTGGAAGGGTCCCTCTCGGGGGTCCCTCCCCGCCAGGCCAGAGTGGGGATCCCCGAGGCTCCCTCCGGGGGCCTCACACCAGCCCCCATCTGTTTGTATGCAGAGTCGGTCATCCCGAGCAGCGGCACCTTCCATGTGAAGCTGCCCAAGCGGCGTGGTGTGGAGCTGGGCATCACCATTAGCTGTGAGTCCCCCTGCTGGAAGCCTGTCCACCGGCCGCCCCGGAGAGCAAGCCACGCCCCCAGATCAAGCCACGCCCCAGAGCAAGCCAGGCCCTCAGCAAAGGCATGCCCCCAGAGCAAGCCACGCCCCCAAAGCAAGCCACACCCCCAGAGCAAGTCACGCCCCCAGAGCAAGCCACACCCTCAGAGCAAGCCACACCCCAGAGCAAGCCAC